TTTAGCAAAGCAAAGTAATGAAAACAGAGGGACAGAGGAAACCACCTGCTGGATTTTAATTTCAGTGCCTTGGCAGCTCTAGTGAGTTCCGGAAGACTGATGAAATAAGACTGATCGCATTACTGACTAGGCCCTGTCTAGTACAGTGTAAGCCATGATGACATCATATGCATCATCCAATTGGTGAGAATTATGTAATTTGTGCCAGCTGTTTTATGTCATCAGAATAGAAATAAGATTCAGTACATACTTGGCGTTACTTATGGAATAATGTCATGAGTGTGTGGCATCATTGGATCCCCATGCCCACTTCTGTGGATGGTCATGGTTCAGAGTAAACTACCAGAACTTAAGCTATTGTGTAGTGCAGAGCCATTTTGAATAGAATTCATGAATGGGTCACAAGTTCTATTTGTAGTTCCCATGTATTTTCAAGATTTTTTATATCGGTTCTCACACTATACATACAACCATAAATCATGGTTTAGAGAAGAATGACATGGCTAAAGGACAGCCCCTGCCCAGGAAAATCACCTGTGAGATTTGGTTCTTCAAATCTGTGAAATGTGGGATGCAAATTATGTAGTTTCATTCTTAATCCTACTTTGCTATCTTATCAAATAGAGATCCATGTAGCTGGATACACACAAGCAGTATTAGAGTTTGCAAAGCACATTTTCTTAGTAAATCCAACTTAACTTTTTTTTCTGGTGACATATTAGTCATTCTTTCATACTTTTAAAGTTCTTATGATATTTTAGCTGAAGAAGACAGAACTGAACTGCACAGCAAAGGCAGTGTAAGCTTAATCAAATTGCATTATTATCTTTCTCCAGGAAACTCTTTTTACTAGACATGTACATAATGTTTTATGACATACACCTGGTCCTTCCTCTTATGGCACAGGAAATATCTCACTGATACCTATCCTCATGCTGTTTATCCCTCACAGTTACTTTGTGTTTACATCTGAGTGGAGGTGCCTCCAGCTTCATAAATCTGTATGCAGTAGTATGGGCTCTCTAACAGCCATTCATTTTAATTATGTGTGACATAAAAGGACCACCTACTGATGAGACAATACAGCTGTAAGATTTTCAAGGTTGCTACAGGGAATACTTCATAACTGAAGTATGTTTTCCCCAAGGAGTTATACTACCATTTGATTTAATTTTTAATTTTTACATTTTAATCAAAAATAGATCAAATGGTAGTGGTACCCCCTGGGAAGCATACTTCAGATATGAAGCTGTTCATGTTTCCTTTAAATATGTAAAGCTGCTATTTATGTATAACTCATGAATGACATCCTGTGTTGCAAGCAAATATCCATGAAGTGTGTTCTATACTGCTCTAGTAACAATAGTAGAAGCGCATACATGTATAGCCAGATTCAGCGAGGAAAGTAACGTTACTAAAACATTCCAAGACATTATTCCATTAAACATGAAGTTAGCCCTAATTAAATAGTGTATGTTTAGAAAAAGCTTAAAGTCATATTTCTAGTCATTGTATAATATAGAAGTCATGTAAAAATTTCCTCTAAGCATGCACAGAATGTCCCATTTGTATTAATAAGTATCTGAAATGTGCCTACAAATAGGGGGATTATGGGAGGTTATTCTAAATTCTTTTAAGATTGCTAAGGAAGGAAGGCAGGCAGGCAGGCAGGCAGGCAAAGGGGAAGAATGTTGGTACCATAAAGTGTGTAATAGATCTGAATGGAGATGATCTGTTCTTTACAGTGAGCTTGAATCCATGTATGGAAGTGAAAGTATAGTTTAGCAGTAAACGAAAGGCATTTATCAGAAATGTATGTCAGAAGATATGAATTAGTGCCATCTAGATTGTTATGGGCACATGACATAATAAAATGGTCATGGGAGCTGGGTAGTATATAAATACTCATAATTCATAGATTGGTGATAGTTGTATGTTTTGCTCTAGTGATGGTAATAATGAATGAACCAGGCATATATTTTGGGAGAACTGCTCAATATTCTGACTCAGATGTGATCTGGGAAGAAAAATGATTGGTTTAAGTGACATGAATGGATGGGTGGAAACAGGATGAGAGAATGCAAAAAAAAGGGAATAGGCCATTCAGAGATAAAAGACTGAATAAAAATAATGACTATTTAGTGGATATCTGCTTTGTAGAGAGGTCTGTTTTGAATATGTGGTATAAACATAATTCTATTCATGTATGCACATGGCAAAGGAATGAATAGAAATATAAAAGCATGCTTGATTGACCATTTATGATGAAAGATTAGGAGAATTAGTGAATGATACACAGATAATGAGAGATTCTGAATGTGAAACATAATTTCTGGTAGTGCCAAGACTGGATCTTAGGAAAAAATTGACTTGGAAGAATATGGAAATAAGTGGAAAAACAAGAATGAACAGGAAAAAAAGAATCCTGTGTGAAAAAAAGTATCAGAAAATAGTTTAATTTTATACTTAAACGAATGTAAACTGAACATAAGGAAAGATGATGTAGAAGCTGCTTGGAATAAAGTGGAAAGAAGGTTGTTACAAAATGTCGCCTAAGTGTGTGAAGTTATGCTAATGGGAAGCAGAAAAAAAGATGCTTCATTGGAATGATGAAGTGAAAGGTATTGTGGAAGAGAAAATGCATGAAGGACAGTAATTGCAGCACAAATTAGGGACAAGAGAAATACATTGTACAATGGGTATATAGAGAAAATGGATTGTTGCAAAGAATTTAGTGAGAGAACAAGGAACCGTTAAGACCGAATGAAGCAGAGAAAATTCAGTGTGATCTGATAGAGATAAAAACTGGAGTGTGTGAAGGCCAAAAAAAAAAAAAA